GTAACTGGTATAGGTAGTTATTAGAGAGTTCTCGACCTCATGTTCATTTGATATGGCTATTTGATATAGCAACATTGTTGTTAATTGTCTATGTGAATTCGTAACCGATATGCAACACGGCGAAATAGTGGAATTTGTCCGGTAATAACAGAATATCAGTCAAACGAAATAGTAAGAGGTAATCATTAGACCATTTCCGTCCCCTATATACTCCTTATACGTACCAAGGCAAACACAACACAACACCTAAATAGCAAATAGCTGCTCGACCGATAGCACGGACGGAGTCGTCATTTATTTATAGATATAATATGAATATAATAAATACGCATTAACAAAATAACTACTCTGTCTTTATTTACCGTACACACAACAATCCTCCCACAAAACCAAGCGCGCCACCTAACCTGAAAACCTTATTAGGCACGACAGGAGGTGTACCAGCCCGACATTGCTTAAGTTTTTTTTTACAAAATTGATGCTGGGATTTCTTACATATGACGATGCCCACACATACATCTGTTACATAAACATAAATTTCTGCTATAATTTTATTTCAAACTATTCTACGCCGTGCGAGGTGTGAAGCTAGAAAGAACATACACGTACCCGTTAGCATGTGCCTCAATCTCATTGATCAAAACCTCTGCACGAGACAGGCAACTGCCCTCGTATACTCCGTGTATACAGGACAAAAATTTCCCGCTATTCTCCGAAACGCGGGAAAGTAATAATATCCTAATCCATAATATGAAAAGGCAAAGCCTTAAAAGAGCGTAGCTTTTGTTGATCTCTGATATTGACTGATTCAGAATACACCTTTCAGAACAGAATGAGATAAGATAAACTGTATTTAAAGTCGGCTAGTCGAGGTATAACAATAAACACAGGCTCTAATGAGATTAAGACCGACATAACAATAGGCAGACCGGGGCAAGTTCGACTTTTTTTTTAAATTAAAGTTCGTTTGAGGAAGTATGGCAGCACGTCCGTTTTTGAACATTATTTAACTTTTCCTGTCGGAAGATCGGATGGCCGAACGATTTCCCGCCATGGGGTAAGTTACCGACAGGCATTCGGGGAAGTTCGGCCTCCATTGGAATCAGCTTAATTATGACATCATAAAACATACAACGTCAGATTTTACCGCAAATTTTACGAATTATATGTGTTAATTAACTACATGGTCCGACATTGCCACGGTATTATTGATCGAACCTGTTAGGGCCAAAATTAATATTTCAATAAATTCTTATCGTCAGTAATATGGTAGTGAGTGATTGGCTAGGCTTTTATATATCATTTGAAGCTGTCAGCGAGATCATGATTTTCTTTCTACCCTCTCAAAAGTATTTTTTTCCTGTTAACTCATTTTACATTAGAGTTTTCCTGGCCAATTTTTCTTCATTTATCCTTAAAGTTGTAACTATTAGCTCAAAAAAAAAAAATATCAGGGATGGCCGAACTTGCCCCGGTCTCCCGTACATTGTATGTAGATTTTTTTTATATCTTTGATGATTGGTAAAAAGATCTTCACAATATTTTATTTTGCATCAATGACGCCATTTTCTTTCAGTCAAAGCTAAAGTAGATATTTGTTCTTGTGCGTAACGTATATGATGGGTTAGGCGGCGCAGTAGATAGTGCGCTCGTCTTCACCAAGATGGTCGGATTCTATCCCGGTCACCTGCCCGAGCATGCAGGTTTTTCTCCGGATACTCCAGCTTACTCCCATATTAAGAATAAAACCCTCTGCGTGCTTCCGTTGGGACACAAAAAAGAATGATTGAGATAAGCTGGGGGAAAACTGTTCGGTAATTGCTATAGAAAAAAGTGCATATTACATATTTGACGATTAGTCTAAGTAAATGTATACAGATGTTAGTTAAAAAAATGAAATTAAAAAGGAAAACATTGTAACACTTTGATGTAACTGAAATTGTCGTTATAACGATATGTAGTCTCAATTACTGTTCCATCCCGAAACACCGGATTGAATTTCAAATTTTTGATGCCAAATAAAATTACAGTTTCTGTCTGTAACTAGTTATAAATCGGCACGCGTTGTGAAAAAAGTAATACCTTGCTGAAAAAGGGCGTTGCACTTGGGTTGGTTGTCGGGAAAATCATTTTTTAATTTCGTCATAAATGCATTTTCCATTGCTTCTTTTATGAGTGGGGATGCATAAATAATGTAAAGACTATATCCAGACTTTCAAAAATGTTAATCATTTCGTTCATATTTTCAACAAATCGAAATCAAAAGCTAACGAAATTTAAATGATCTCTTTTTGAAGATATCTCCCGGTAGAAGTATCAACAGAACCGGGTTGATGACAAAAAAGATCCTCAGAAAATATCCACATTTTCAAATATCGACAAAGAGATAAATGCAACGGACGTCAATTCAAGAATTTTCCGGATGTTTTCACTATATGAAGATATTCATGGATGGGTTGAAACAATTGTTTTTGCTTAAAGGATAAACTTCCTGTTTCCCCACTGGACGTCCGGACGAAAAAAAATAAAGGCAAGGTGTAGCGAGGGGAAGCAATTCTATTTACGCACGCATGTGTTACCATTAAGGAGCTTCGCCTTTGGCGCCCGAGAGCTACGCTCTTATCAGTCCAAGGGGCCGGGGGCTGATATGGGTTGGGGGCTGGTACGGAGTAGGATATGAACATGGTCATACGGTAACATATTTATCATATACTGCTACATTGTATATAATATAAAAAAAAAGGAATAACACATACATGTAAAATATGGAGAAAAAATATATCCAAAGTGCCACATTCAGCCTGAAATAAAACACAATGATCAGCATAGCAAATACAGGTGGCTGTACAGTGTGTACACTGCCAGTTTGAGGTGGGATTATTGTGAAAAGTGGTACACCGGAAGTTAAACATATATGGCGTGTACCGAATAGATATGGCGCCTGTTGGGCGGTTATGACTCGTGCCCTGCGGATATTAGCTGATCCGGGATATGGCCGATGCACAGCCTGCAGTACCACATATGCGAACCAACCCATACTAAGGACAAGATAAATTATCTTTCGAAGTTTTGGTGCATGTGTGCTGTATAACGCAACGGAGGTGGGAGGGCGGGTGTTGACTTTTGTGAAGACAATGTTAGGGCACGATGGGGGTTGTTGAGTTGTAAACTAGACTGGGAAGGTAACACACGGTGGTACTAGAACGTGTATATCCCACGTGTCAATACAGCCGCCAGACAACAAGCAAGTAATGAATGTGTGGCTGGAGTAGGTTCTCCTGATGTCATCGGAGAGCTAACGTAATTACGACAGAGAGTTTTGTGTTAGCAACAGGGCCTTTTATGTGATCTCGAGGATGTTCGACGGAAACTGCGACAAATATAGACGGGGCAGCTACATGTTCCGCTAGGCTGGTCGGCAATACGTAAAACGTCGTTATCTCCCGACTCTGACTGCAACAGACAAGCAATAATCAAATTCCTGGTCCATCAGCCATGGTCCTCATCAATTCGTCGCTTATCATTTCCCACGAAATATCTCAACCTCCCTACACATTTTGTGACATTTAATGTTTTATTAACCATTTCCATTACTCTGGTGGACACAGAGGAGCGACAACATCAGATATTGAATTTATGACATGATTGGTTAAATGTTCATTCTATTGATAAACCTGTCTGGTGGTCGTTCGAGTCCCCCGTGACGGCTCCATGAAACACTAATGTTCGTCCAATGAATTCGTTTAAGCTTTACATTTATTTAAAGTAGCATTTATTGTCAATATATTGAAATTGGCATGGCTTTGTCATTATTGAAATTTAATTAAACAGAGATGTCAAAATGTTTTTCTTTGTTTTTCCTGCGTTCCCACAATTCATCCCTTCCTAAATCAGTTGTGAGTTACGAACGTAATGCTATTGACGTCATCATGATTGTGACGTCATTATCGGAGCGTTGGATAAACAAATACGAGATTCAGATACTTATTAACGATTGTTTAAATTAATGCAACAAAAAGGTCTATAATTGCATTCACTATGGTTTGACCATTCATGAGAATGTCATGTATTTTTGAATAACACAGTTGACCCCATCACAATGCGAATTGTTATAACTTGTTAATAATTGTAATTGTCTTAATTTGAATTAACTTTCAACAAAAAAATGGGGTTATGCATGTAGGTAAAATAAAAATTAACACAAATTGTAACAAAGTACGTGTAATATTCTACAAATTGTATTTGAAAATGGATCTTCATTTTGACAGCTTAGTTGTCATGCTGATGGTAGGACTTTCAACGAACGCTTAACATTTTCCCGCGAAAACAGATTGTTCTTTCTACTGCGTTCCCAAATGTTTAAACTGTTGGGTTTTTTTTATTCGTGCTTGCGTCGATATTTTAAATCCTTTTATAAATCAATATATAAGGAAATGGAAAATACAGTGAAAAGGTATCGCAAGGGTCATGGACAATTTTCCCAATTCAATTTTGATATATCTAATCAAAAATTAATCAAACCTGGAAATGAACAATTTCATGAACATTGACTCCTTTTGATTGCGCTAATCAAAGTATCAAACTATTGTTTTCAATTGGTATAGTTTGAGCGCGCAACTTCACCAATGCACTAAAAAGGAGAACATTGGATAACGTGCTATAATTTGAGTGCGCTAAAATTTGAACGTTTACAGTGGTTTGTCGAACTTGGTATTTAGTTTAAAAAAAGTGTATGTATCATGTATGCTTCTTGATTACTAAAGCAAACATCGTTCTGGGGAGAGTTATTGGTATTCAACATTTCAAATACAACGTTATGATGATGATGCGGTCAATATTTGGGCCATTGCATTCATATCTGATTTGAACGGCATCTGAATTTTGTTAGTGCTATATATTGGCAATGCCTTACAAAGATAAAACGTAAGATTGAGTTAGTTATCCATGTAGCAACTACATGTTTGCCATAGTTCTAACATATTTCTTTTTCGTCATTTCAGGCCTACGCCGTAGTATCTGTGATATTTATCCTGACGTCGATCGCCGTGTTTTGTTTAGAGACTAATTCCCACTTCCGGTACAATCCCCAAACAAACCTATCGATGGACAACCTTCCTGTTTTGGAACGACAGCGACACACCAAACCACTCTTCTTTATGGACGTCTTCGAGTACATCTGTATTATTTTCTTCACGTTTGAGTTGCTAGCCAGGATAATATTTTGCCCGTGTATCAGTGACTATTTAAAGGAGCCTTTTAATTGGATAGACGTGTGTTCTGTCGTACCGTTCTACATAACAAAGATCATGCTAATCTGTGATGGTAATCTCGAGCTCACTGATGCCTATTATTTCCTTAATGCACTTCGACTGATAAGAATTTTTCGAATTTTGAAACTAACACGTCATTTTAGTGGATTGAAAATTTTAGGCCATACGATACGAGCAAGTGCCAAAGAGCTTTTACTCCTTTTTCTTGTACTGATAATCGGTGTGCTTATCTTCGCCTGTCTTATTTTCTATGCAGAACAAATTGACGAGGGTAAGATCAATGACTTTCCTGATATTCCTATGGGCTTTTGGTGGGCAGTTGTTACCATGACAACACTTGGGTATGGTGATATGGCCCCTCGCACAGGCTTTGGATACATTGTGGGGACGATCTGCGCAGTCTGTGGACTTCTTATGCTGTCACTTCCGGTTCCGATCATAGTCAGTAATTTCACACTTTATTATTCTCACGCCCAGGCTAAAATGAAACTTCCGAAAAAGAATAGGAATTGTCTGGTTGGTGCCGCAAATGCATTGAAGGAAAATCAACCAACACCAACACCTTCTCCATTACCGGAAGCGGATGTGTCGCCATTAAAATCAGAATATGGAAGTAAAAGCAGTTTGAAGTCACTGGATCGTAAGTCCAGCAATGATAGTGCGTTTGGTAGCTGTGACAGCAACAGTGAGTTCATAATTATTATCAACACATCATACAGGTCTTGGTTCAGTACAATAACGTGATGACGTTTGAATCTATTTCTGAAAAATAAAATCAAAATTTTAATACTAATTAAGTGATACGAATTTTTGTATCTTATAACTAATGTAAATCACTTTGACACACGTACAAATGATTTTCTTTAGTTTAAATTTAGGTAATCCAGATAATGGAGAAAAAATAAATTCTTAATACATTTTATGTTCGTAAAATGATCATGTGTATATTATATTTATGAATTCAATAATTTATACTGTTGAAAATATTATTAAAAACTAATAAAAAAAATACAGCTCTGACTAGTACAGTTGTTAAAATAATAAGCATTATGATTTTTCAATATTTTTATTTTTGACCTGAATATATGCAGAAATAGGGTTATTTGTGAATATTATATGAGTGTGGTTATTTTGAATACCAGGACATGCATGTTTTGCTTTCAACTTTAAATAATTATGAAAAATAATATCGATTAAAATATTCCTTAATCTTAATCATTCTTCAAACTAAAGTAACGTTACATGATACAGATGTTGTTTTCTCTTATGGTAGTTGTGATAGTGTTATTATCTGTTTCTCTTGTAGAGTGATATATCAAACGTAATTCGGTACTTTGAAGTTTATAGACAAACTGAGTTATGATTTCTTCCCAAACTAAAAACACATATATACATGTCTTACTTGACCTAAAGTAGACCTCTGGTTCTGAAGTTACACTTTTGCAAACTTTACTTAAGGAGAGAATGAACACAAATTGTTTGAGTAAAAAATTCCGAAGCGTGACGTCTTCTTGAAAAAAAGTATGTCCTTAAAAGTCTCTTCACTTAGGGTAAGAAATATCTACACGGTCAGAAGCTTCTATCGCCTCATAGAAATGAATATGAATATACTGAAGCTTTTTACGGTTTACTGTTCAAAGTATACCATAAGTAAACTAAAGTATTCTGCTCTTTGCACATTAAAAATGTACCTAGTTCTTTCACAATGTCACAGCCAATATTGACCAATCTCCCGAGTAGGACGTGGGAGAGAATGAGTATCAGTATGATGGCATGGTGGATATCAAAACTATCTTCATTCGTTTGTAAATTTTCAATATCTCCAATGTTTACATGAAAGAAACGCTTAAACGCTAGGCAGCAGTTTCTCATTTGGTGCTAGTGACAGTAGCATTGAGTTCATATACAAGTTAAAATGCAAAGTACATATTTAATGTAGTTATGTTCACATCTAAAGCCCTTGCCCATTACTAGGTTATCTCCGTGCTTAAGAACTCTCAAAGTACATGTTGACGAAATTATCGTCCGGTTAAAAATTCTCTGTACATGTACATATAAATTAATGTAAGATTACGTTCTATGGCAGTTAAACTGTAAGTGGTAGATTTAATACTTAGTGTACTGGGCACAGATAACCGTACTGGGTTAAACTAGTCTGCTATATACATGTACAATAAAGTTCATGGTATCTGTATATAAAACAGGCTTGTAACGTTATGGCATGTGGTATTTATTGATTATCACACTGTGTTTTGAGGGTTTGGCGCGGGTACATTTGGTCTCATCGCAAGAACGTGGATAAAATCGAGTGACCACCGCAGGTTAACTTTACATGTACATGTTATGCACGTGCAAGCGATGAGAAAATTGTTTGAACGACAAAACACTGAAAATACTGTGCGATCAACTGTTTATCATCTATATACTACATTATACTACATTATCTTATTTCTTCATTTTAAAAAAAGGGCAACTATGCATCATATTTTCCAAAGACTTAATTCTAACAATAGGTTTAAACGTTGATTTGTACCAGCTCCAGTATCTAGTGTCCAATGGTGAAATCTTTAACACGGATATTTGGTATTTAACCTCGGCTCCGCTCGACGTTTATCAGGAGATAAGCTGAAACAATATTCAATCCTTAAATGAGCATTTTTTGTTTGCTCCCGCGGAAGTTACTCAGTAAGGATTTTGAGGTTTATGCCCCATGTGGTGTTGAAGATAGAAGAAATAAGACCGTGCGGCCTTTTCATCGTGGTTTTGTAATGTGCATTATGACATAATTCATAACTTTTTCTCGGCTCAATGAAGAGAGAGAGAGAGAGAGATGGAGAGACTGATTTTTAATGATTCAAATATTTCAATGAAGACATAAATTGAATTTCAAAAATGTACCGAAAGCTATCTTAAGTCAATGGCGCGGGATATTCTCTAATTACATTTTGATCAATTCAAGTTACGGGTTTTGTGCAATACCGATCTGTCATTTTCGTTTTGGCTCAGTGATCGATCTGTATTTCTATAGCTTCTTCTCCTTAAATACTTTATAACTTAAATAATTGAAGTATCATCATGAACTTTGGAAGACAGAAATCCATTAGTAGATTCGATCAGATGGAGCTTTTCATTATTTCTTTTGGTTTAATGCCCTATTTTTATTTTAGCACTCTTTCATTCAACTCGTGATAATTAGATTATATGTCGATTTAAGATATATCTAGGACTTTGCAATCGTTCTTCTGAGAAATTTGAAGAAAACCGATTCTGTAGTAAAAACAAATGCACATTGGAGTAATCCTCCTTGAGTTTCTCAGTCCGGTTAACTAGTTCTTATAGAAAGTCGCGTATTGCATGTACAAATTTCAATTTGTTGACTCCTTTTCTTCTAAAAAGGGGGAATTTTGAATATAATCCAAGCACAGACGTAGAATAAATTGGAATTGCCTCCCAATTTCCATATTTGGATTGGGATGCACATATCCCGCATCTTGCAAAACATTTGAAGAATGCAATCTGTTACAGTAGATATTTGGAACATAGTGCTACTACTTTTGAATTTTATTTCCGACATCGAAAATGAAGGTTTCCAACATATGAAGAAAAGCAAATATTTCAAAAATATAAAATATATTTCAATAGAAAATATAAGCATCTTAATAAGAATTTTCCTGTAAGATTCAAGAATGCATTATGTTTAAAAAAATACTAATTGTCTATAAACATATGTTCCTATAGGGAACGCAATAATATTAAGAAACTTTAAAGTCACTCTTTTCCAAGCTTTCTTTTAATGCCCTTTTGATATTTAAAAAACCCCGGTATCAAATAATGTTATGCTTGTATATGTGGCTGTTTGTTACATATGTGTCGTAATACACGTGTATTGCAGTGTTTTTCTACTGCAGATAGAGACTATGACTCGCATCAGGCCCCATCAATAAGAATAAGAAACCATGCAATGGCGTGAAACATGTCTTCTTATAGGCTCAAATACACGATAACTTGTTTTGTGGAAAGTGAAAGTAGAAGGCTAAAAATACGAACTGATAATGGAAAAATACAACAGGTTTTCATTGCAATTAATCAATTTTAGGTTTAAGCGTAAATAATGGCAAAATATAATAGGGGAAGGCGAAACTAACGACAACTAAGTCGAGGAGTTGCTGACATTTAAATAAGTGAATACATATATAAGCGCTTTAAGCGTGTCTTTTGAGGGTTTCCAGGTAGTTGGAAAAATATCGGATGACAAACTTTGTTAACTATACAAAGATATTTATGACGTTGTCTTCTAGTCGGAAATTATGATGCTTCGCATTCCAGGCTTGTTGTCCGCATTTTCTAATGGGTAGACGTGTATTACATGTCTTGCATGAGCCTTAGTATTGAACAAGCCAAATAAAATACAGGAATCTAGGTTCGGTACACAAAATGTGAAATCCTATTTCCTTGAAATCACGCAATTGTACAACCCACTAGTGAGGCTGCCAACGTTGCTTTGAAATATAAGTAAACATATCTTATTTTAAAATCCTAACAGGTTATTTAGATTGTTTACGTTGCATGAACAATTTAACAATTTTATCAAAAAGGCAATAAGTTCTTCAGACTTTCGTTTCTGTTTTATTTTTATTCTGTCCCTTTGTTAAAAGTCTGTTCATGATTAGATTGTTCCTAGCTATTTGATTTTGGAGGCCTCCTCTGCTCTATTTCAAACATATAAGAAATCGATAAGTTCACCAAGGGATTTCTTCTAGATAGCTACATATCTTCACAGCTATTTGAAAACTCTGTGCAATTCATTTCTGTTTGACGCCAGGGTAAAATAGTTCCTTTTATATTTCAATAGCGGAAATGCTATGAAATGTTGGAAACGATTACATTACGTTGGATATTTATTATTGCATTTAATAATGATAATTGTGCATACTAGCAATGCAATGTATTTAAACATAAAAGAAGATCAATTAGATATATTCTCACACTTAGCATTTCAAAATAATCCATGACAATAAACACTCATTTTCCTGGTAAGATTATCGTTTGTAGGCGTGCAAAATGTTTTCCTCAATGAGGTTTTGTCCATGCGTCAAAGCAACGCAAATCAGCGCCTAGAATTTGAAATGCTGTTAGACGTTCTAGGCCTAACTTCGACTCTTATACTCTAGCAGCAATGAGAGGGAGCATGCTGGATTAGGCCTGTAACTCTGTTTTGCTATCCGAAAGACACAGTGTAGAGCGTAAACCCATGCGATTCAACCCGGCTTATTGCAATATGCTAAATGTAGCTCCATTTGTAATGCTGAAATTTTGATTACGTAATGAACATTGTTTTCGTATCTGGAGCAATGTATTCTTGATTGAAAGCAATCTTTTTAAGCGTTTTAGCATTGCTATTTACATAGCAGCGTCGTATCCTTGCATATGCCAAGTAGGTATGGCACAAAGACGTGTGTCTATTGCTGAATACAGACGAACAAGTGCATACTGCACACCTAGATAAATGTATGTTGAATTAAAGTCCTGTTCAAATTGCTTAAGTCTTGGTCCTGTATAACAGTGCTTTTTGTTTTGTGTATTGAAGTTTACTTAATTGTTCAGGCATCGTTTATCTGCTTAGATCATTACAGCATTGTTCAAGTGTTTTCAGGAAATACATTTGTTTGTTAAAAGTTGATACCACTCTAGTAAAACATGTTAAAGGCATCTTAATACAGTAAAAGGGAATAGTATACGTACATGTATGCGATGAAACAGTGTATAACAGCTCTAGAAATCGAATTACACGGTCTTCAACGTTGTATTACTTTTGCGCTTTATCGAACATATCTGTTTGATTAACCCGTACGGACTATGTATTTACACATCGAAATGGTCTTATACCTTCGATATTTTTTTATTTTTTTTTACTATTTTAACAATTTACTATTTTTTCTTTCGTTCAACGCAAAAAAGTGTAATGCTTTGTTAATGTAGAGCGAAAGAAACAAGACTAAATAGATAAATAAATGAAATTAGAGTAACAAAGATATATCAGTGATGATTTTCTTCCTACGTTCTGAAGGTCTTTTCCGTGCATGTTTCCTTAAATAGACATGCTAGCGGAATTATTAAGCTGACTGTCTGCAGTGTATAAAGTACATGTACTTGGTAATCTCTAGATGATGTCGATTATTCAGGAATCATTTTCCTAATGACAGTCATTTTACTTTTAAGCTAAACGTATTAAGTGCAATAAAGCGACATGACCATTAAGGGTTGCTCTGGTTTAACGACGTCGTTCCATTCATTCCTGAAACATAAATTAACCCAGGGAGGCACGGGGCGTCTAGTCTGGCCTACAATTACAACACTGGCAGGGTTACCAACAGTGGCAGGGTTAAGACCTTGTTTCGCGGTCTAGACATTCTGGCCGACAGTGGTCTACGTTTAATTAATGGTATCGTTTAACAAAACATTACTCGATCATCTGGAATCTGATGTTCAGACAATGTAGCTAACTTTTCTACCTCAGATAGGAATTAAGAATAGCCATTCTGAAAACAACATGGATTTCAAGAGGAATAATATTCCAAAATTATCAAAAGAAAAAGTATCATAGTTACAATGTATTAAAATTAATATAAGTAAGAATGTTCCGATTGGATTGTCTATGATTAATATTAAAATATAAGTGAGGAAAGATACGTTTGAATATGGCTTACGCTAAAAGCTAGTCTTAATGTATATATTATATACTGTTGTAAAAGGATATTTTGAATTATCATTTCTCTTGGTATATGTACGGTTTTATACGAACTTATCCCTGCAAATATGCCAGGGGAATGTATTTCAATGAGACATAGACATAGTGTTAAACGGAATGATAAACAATCCATGTTCAGAAAAGAAAATGAATTTAAAAGAAATTGCAAATAAGAAAATAAAATTATGAAGCATGTCCACGATTAAACGAAATATTCGAATTTTTCGTTGGTATATTTTGGCGATAGTATTACTTGCACTCATTCACTATGTTTAAAGTTTTACACTGTACCATTAATAGACGGTACATGTAGCCATTACATGCACACTCTCTATCTGCTGTAGCAGTTATTAATAGAAACTATCCACCTATAAGATGAGATAGCCTAAAACCCTTACTAACGTGCTATCAGAAAGGGTACCAGATAACTTTCCTAATATGCAAATAAAATATAGTACTGTTTGCTGCGGTATATTTCAAAGGTTTTATATTTACAGTCTAAAATGATTTATCACTTTCTGAATTGATACTAAAAGTACATTGTAAACATGTCTGTCATGTTGATAGAGCAGACTAGCCCAGACCAGACATATTAATGGATAAATAATTATTCCTCCTACCTAAATGGATCTAAAATCAATTTCTTTATCCGCAGCGTCTCCAGAAAAAGAAGAAGTGAGAAAGATTAGTGTAATTTACACGGACGAGATTGTCAATTCTCCTCAATTAATAGTAAAACGGAACCGCTTTTTTGGGAATCAGTCACCACCGGAAGCGGAAAGACTCCCACGGATTCCTGAACGATCCCACTCTCCAGCGGAAATGGATGTGAACATGCGCACGAGACGGGGCAGCAGAGTCGGCATTGGTCTGTATAATTATAGTTATTTCTTTTCACGCCTACTATGCCTGATTCCAGGTCGATATGTTCGTAACTCTATTCTAAAAGCCTGCATCATGATAAAAAGATAAATAGATATTCAAACGAGTTCCCATTCAATATGATTTTTAAGAAACGTATTAATCAGACAACGATGAATTAAGTAATACATTCAAATAATAAATTCACAAAACATGTTTGTGATAGATAGACTAGAAAATAACAGCAAAGCCCCTCTTCCATATTTGCCTTTATTTTAGAATAGTGACGTCGTCGTTTTTGTAAGTCACAGAGTGTGATATTGCATGTTTTACAAAACCAAAATCTAACAAATGGTGATAATATACTGCCCGAACGTATGAAAAAATAAATCTATTTATTAGACAATATCATGTATGCATCTTAATATTAAGTTGCTTGGAGAGCATTTCTAAAAGATGTTTACTTAATAAAAATAACATAATAAAATTAGAAATTCAAAATATTACAATCTGTTTTAAGTATATCGTGGAACGACAATAATCGAACTGTTTCTTTAACAGATATTAGATAAATGTGGTTCATGAATATTGTATAATCGCCATGAAAATATTTGTATAGATTCTTATGATTCATCGTTTGATTAATCTTCGATATGATGTTGCAAAAACAAAAACAAAGTATTTTGTCGAAGTGTTCGAGTTGGTTGACATATAACTTTTGAAGGTACAGATCCACGTTACGAATCAAGCTAATTTTTACATTTACGTAGGGTATAATACATACATTATCATAGAGCTAGGTGCGTGTTCTTTGTTATTCAGCTACGTATCTTATCGTGAACTACTTTGATACATACACTTATCTATCTAAAGCAAATATCGTGATACATATGGTACTGTGACGCAAAGAGTAAGGTACGTATCGTATCATGAAGAAATATGCCTGAGATTATCATAAATGACGTAGATAGTTGGTTACGTATTGCATCGTGGTACATATTTCATGAAATGTGATGTATCATAATGTTATTATCATCAGACGTATTGTATAATTTCGAAATTATGACGCAAATCGTATTGCTACTTATATATTGTGATATGTATAGTACATAAAGCATATATTGTGATCGTTTCACGTTGCAAATGTCGTAATACGTATCGTGTCAAAATGAACAATATCGTGATGAGTAAATTACTGAGGAGAAAATATCCTTATATGAATTACATACTTATGCAAGTATCATTTATTTCACAATAAATATTTAATCATCAGACATAGGACTCATGTTGATTAACGTTTGAGAACTTATCATGAGAACGGAGCTCACGCGCGGTCTTATACCCCTGCGTGGGGAGGCTCTGTGTAAAATGTGATGAACAATGTTGACGTGTTTCTGTGTATGTTTGACGACCATGGAGATTACACCAGTGTCGTTATTTGTATCAATACCTTTTTTTCTCTCCTGTTGTCGTTTCAATTAAGTTCACACTAGACAACCCTTACATAGTGATCGTATCTGTAAGTTTTACTCGGCTATGATGTAGTACTGAGGAAGGGTTTCTGTACGTATTAGATTAGACGATTGATGATCATAGCTGTGTTGCACGCTATCATGTACATTCCGTTAACTCTGCTAAGAGTTCCCGCGCTTCTCACTCCGCTCTCAAACAGAGAAACCTACAAACAAAATAACTAATTGGATTTTTCTTTAATTTTATGAATCTTATTTGATCTGAACAGCATGTACTGCTAATTAATGTGACAGTCAGAAAGGTTTTCTTGACCATTGATGGTGTTACCACAACAACAAAAACAACAACATTTAGGGTATTTATACCATTTTAATCAATACGACACCGGTTATAGTCATCTTTAGCAATCATACGTTTGCGCAACTTCAATTTTTTTGTAAATGTTTAACAGACGTGTCAATAAAAACAATCCATCAAAATAACTCTAATAACATTTTCACAGACCGAAGAATGTCAATTGTTTCGCAACACTTCCATTTTGTATACGGCATCCAATAGCGTATTCTCTGTGTCACAACCTTCCCAATGACCCCTTGACGAAGAACTCACCTGGTAGTCAAATCAAATTTTGTTTTGCTCATAATTCTGTGTAGCCAGAGACGCGCACGACAAATGACGAAACACAGATGCATTTTGAGCATAGCGACCCACCACAACTGCGAGGCGATGCTATAACACCTTAGATTAGTGACAACAAGATTGTGTTCATATGAAACCTTGTTCAATCGGGAGCATGATTCAAAGGTCATACAATATAATCATATTTTTTTTTTAAATATACCATTAATATCATACAAGTTCTTCAGTTTTTAATATGCTGAATTGTTTCTCTAAACGTATTCCGTGTAAGCCACGTTTTCAATTCTTTGTGGCTATTCGTTGTACATTTAGGTCACTTATTATAACATTCAAATTAAATTAAATTACATGATTATGCCCTTTTTTAATATAGTGCAACAAATATACACAATCCTACACCGTACCCCATTAAACCTACCTAATATGACGTCGTGTTTCTAGTGTGTCACTATCCTATTTTGCGATCTAGGGAATTTAGGGAATTAGACCAAGTTATAGATCTTTACAAACGACAAGGGATATTAACTCTTAACAATAAAATATGCGTGACCTGATTTGAAACAGATAATCGTTTTATTAGATATTCTAAACCTCTTGCGATCTGAATTATGGCCCTATGGTAAACTGTAACTCTCATGAAGGTGATAAAATGCATAGAGTATTGTCAGGAAATTGTATTTATTAACCCTAATAGACATAATTCAAGATTATTCTCACAAACAAATTCAGCAAATACTCTCACAATGATATTATCGCAATCATTATGTCCATGTAATAATCGCATCACTGTTAATATCTATTTCCGAATGCCTTTCTAGAAGTGATTCTATTTAAGTGTTGCACATCTACTTCCAATGATTTATTATTTTACCGTTAAAAAAGCTTTGTTATTATTGTGAATTAGTATTCTTTTTCATTTCAGGTTATAAATCGGTGTCACCTGCAGCGTCATCCAAGATGACTCACTTGCCACCTGATCCGGAGATGTGAATTAACGTGTCATTCTTTAAAAGATGCATGTTATTCCATGGAATACGTCACAATAATGTGATAAGAATTTTGCAAAAAAAGAAAATTTGAGCAAAATTATTAATTGCAAGTAAGTGCAATTATTTAATTAAGAGAAATTATACAACGCTCTGCACTCATGTGTCTGATTAAATTCATGAAGGATTGAACAATGTGTTCTGTGTACAGGATAGTTCCCATGTTAGTGTTGTTTTCGTGAATTTAAGTACGATGAAATTATCATGAAAGAGAATGCAACACTCTCAAAACTGATTACAACACCGAGCCAATACAGATGTGGCCAAACTGGGGTCAGAAAGTACACTGGGTATTCTCTATCGTCGATTCTGCTGGATAAAGCGTTTCGCAAAAATGCAAATTAGCATGTGGCAGTGTTTAGAATTGGATAACGTTTCTGTTGAAACCGGCAATGCATTGGACATTTTTTGTCGAATTCTGTTTGTTGGGGAAACGGGTGTATAAGGAACGATACACAGCCTATTGTCAAGTTATGACGAATTATGACGAATTACCGTGGCCATTGTGTGAGATAAGTGCACTCAATATTTAACCGAAAGCAATGTAAAATTATTTTGTTCGCACAATAAATTTGAGTATCAATATATCCTAGGAAATGTTCAATTTATTTCAAAATCCCTTAACCATGGCAATCCCATGTCCATCGACTGACCCCTCGCCATGCTGTTAAATGAACAGAGATATTTCCTGGGCAGACCACTACATTGGTGTTGATATAAAGAGACCGAGTGTTTGACCAATATTTTTCCGTTATTTTGTCAAAGTATTTTACATCCACTAAATTACTATTCAAATTGATATTTAAGAGATGTTAAGATTTTTTTAGTTTGAGCATCTCTGAATAATAGAAGTGTACACATCATGTCCATATCGGTGTTAATTCAGTACCGTTGCTATTGAATGTCAATAAGCTCCTTTGTAGACTTAACACATTTTTTAATCAGAGCACCAGAGTTTTTAAAAAAAAACGTTAGGTAAGCAAGAGAATATGAAAATGTATATGAAAAGAAAGATAAAAAAATGAAATAGGGCAAAACATGAAAAGTAAGTATTTACACAGACTACATTAACAAAGTAAAAGGAGAACAAGACCAGACATTCCGGATGGGTAAACGTCTTCTTTATCTTCGGCGTCATTTGAGACGTAAGTCGAGTCCTACACTATAATAATTTTGCGAAAACTAAAATATGGCAAGAATATGTAGGTTTCGTAGTACAACCTAAGGTTCAGTGAATTCTAAACTGTTTCATAGACAGTAATAGTATTCTATCGTTTTGATCAATACTAGATGAAAACACTGAAACACATAATTACATCTGCAACTGGTTATATATTAACACTTTGTTTTTAAATTTTCTCTGAACTTAGACTTAATATTGTATACCTTCTACGTCAGCTCATTAAGGCGGAAAGTAGTCTCATTTATAAATTGGTTTAAATTGGTTTTGTTTTCAGAGTTTTTGGATTAAACCAAACATTCATTACATGTTATATTGTTTTACTGTATCACCAGTACATAACAGTTATTTATCTACCCAGTATGACAGTAAAGCAAGAGTGATTACCTCACAGGAATCGGCACCAGCCGTGGTATCAGGCTCTGGCAAGTCTGATATTCTAGAAATGATTAGAATTTTCTTTTAAAAATACACTGAATGTAGAGATGAGGATTGAATCTTAAATTAAAAGAACTTTGTTTTTCTTATTAAGTGAAGTTTATAAAAATATATTGGCTTACAGTTCGCACCAACGTGTCAATCTTGATAAGCTCAACTTCCTACTAAAATAAAAATTAGTCTAACGTTGATGATTTCGAGTTCCTGTATAGCTACTTGAATTATTAATTTCCATGTTTTGTAATAGGAAAAGACTAAAAACCTTCGTTTTTGCAATGTAAAAAAACAGATTTTCACAAGCTGGCATAAGGTTAACAAATGCCTACATGCATTGAGATTAACAGGGAAATATTTACACTTTGATCATTGACATCTTAATTTTGTTCAATACAAATAGTACTTGTTATGCCTACTCCACATAAAACTCGACGCAGATATAGAATTGAATAAGGCCATCATATATTAAGATGACAATTTATTATAATGACATCATGACACAAACTATGAAAATGATGTTTACTGTCAATTTACAACCTTAGGTGGGGATTCGACAGAATGACACCCACACCAACACATATATATATGTATCACAAAACAAACAATATTAAAATGGGTGGCATGGAAGGGTGGGTTTTTCAATAAGGCAAATTTGGTATAAATTTCTAAAAAGATGCTGCCACAAAATGGCGCCATTGAAATTTTTCTTAAAGATGAAGAAAGAGGCATACATCCAATCAGATTGTAGCGTTGGATGTTAGCCAATCAAAAACCTCAAAACAATGGAGGCACCAAGAAGGGGGGAGCGGAACCATAAGGGGGCTATTTTCGTAGCAACCTTTTTACAATACTTGTCAAACAGTCTAAAGGAGGGTTTATGTGTCGCGACATAAAATCAGCTATGTATATAACTTGCATATAATAAAAAACACTTATAATTGAATTTCTTGCCTTGTAGTATTATTTGATAAACCATTTAAACCAATCGAAAGATCTAGCTATATTAATCGGTTAATCACACGTAAACCAACATATTTAATTTGGCGAACATCGTTAAAGGTATGGTAATGACGATTTTGACTAAAAGATCAATTTAAAAAAAGAATTGTGCCAATTGAAGATGGTGCAAAAGTTTTAAGGCCAAGTACCTACAAGCAAAATCTTACGTTTATTTAAACATAGCGATTTATTCAGTCATACCATGAATAGTGTGCCTCGCTGTGTATCGACGTAACAAAGACTCCTCTACTAATGTCAGCGGTACAGCTGTCAATTTTGGAATTCTGTAGGAAATGTTATGCGTCAACAATTTTGAAAAGGCAGCTGTTCTTAATATCTATGATTTTTTTTTCAAAACTATTATTTCAAAATCACAAACGCAGTATAAATCGTATATTTGTAATTATGCTTGTACTGTTTATAACGGAACGAACATAGCACCTAGACAGGCACCATGGCCCCGGACGACCGTTGTTGCTGTCCCCACAAGGTTTACGTCCTTCGTCTGATGACTACTCCCCGGTAAACAGATTTACCGTGATTGTCAAATCAAAGTTTTATGAACAAGGACTGCCCCTAATAAGAAACACGATGATTAAGACCATAAAACATATTCCTTAGTCGTAATGCTACATAAAGTAAACCATGACGACACGTGCGCGCAATCACGTGTTTATATATTACTTTGTATATGATTGAAGTAATAATAATTATATGTATTAGAGTTATTTCCCTTCTTAATAAAGCACATCTAATAATTTAAGATGAACTTATTGTTTTGAGCTCATTTACGATGACCATCAATTAAAAACTACTTGTCAACTTTTCAGTTATTTTTACTTTTTACCAGACACATTTCATTTGTTGTTAACTGTGAAACTCTTTTGCAAGTGAGGTGCATAATTATACATTCTTAAAACGAACAAAATATATATGCAAGTTGTCGTGATGAATCCAGTTTATCAAATCAGATACGTTAAGTCGAGTATTTTTTATTATAATTTAAGTAATTTTGCTTGTATTGTCTTAGGGATATCATTTTTAATTACAGCACATATTTTGTTTTCATTTTTGCTATTTATAAAAATGTTTGGGCTGTAGCAGAACAGGTTGATACGCCTGTGTATTAGCTGTTACACTGTACACTGTTTGCTGTCACCCAAAGACGGCTAGTGCCACGTCGGAGAAATTAGTCTAGAGTAAAATTGCTCCTTCTACTAGTAATTATAATCTATTACGTATTAGTAAAATGACAATGACAAAACGTGGTGAATGTGAAAGGAACGCAACCTGGGGTGTAGTGAGCGGTTGATGTAAAGTAAAGTAGAACCAGAATACCAACGTGTGATAATCTGCAACATCACACTCTTAGTCAACGCCTTCTCCTGGATTTCATTTACATCGTATCCTAGCCGTCTTCGATCAGGCGGTACCAAACACACTCATTTAAACTAAACTACATATACAAACATCCGACCTAAACATGCTGGAAAACATCGGAACTAACAATTGTAATACAAGATAGCGAGAGGCGAGATTTCCAAAGAAGAGGTTAGGGGTGAACTAGGTATTTGATCAATCATAATACCGTACAATTCACGTTCGGATAAGCCGTTTTCCAGTTTTGATGTCTCTGCAGTTTTTGTTGTTGTTCCTTTGTTTTAAGTCTCCACAGTTGTCTTTCCTTTTGTTTTGGTTTCCTGTTAATTGGCTTGTTGTTCTCTTGTTTTGATGTCTCCCTAGTTCGCTTGTTGTTCTTTTGTTTTGATTTCTTCGCAGTTCATGTTGTTATCCTTTTGTTTTGATGTCTCTAGTTCGCTTGTTGTTCTTTTGTTTTGATTTCTCCTTTTCTTTTAATGTCTCCCATGTTCGGAAGTTGTCTTTTTGTTGTGATTTGTCCGTTTTTGTACTTTTGTTTTGATGTCTCTCATGTTCGGTTGTTGTCCTTATATTTTGACGTCTCCCTAACTTTGCTGTTGTCCTTTTGTTTTGACGTCTCCCTAATTCTGTTGCTGTCCTTTTGTTTTGATGTCTCCCTAGTTATGTTGTTGTCCTTTTGTTTTGATGTCTCCCTAGTTCGATTGTTGTCCTTTTGTTTTGACGTTTCCCTGATTCTGCTGCTGTTCTTTTGTTTTGATGTCTCCCTAGTTCGGTTGTTGTCCTTTTGTTTTGATGTCTCCCTAGTTCTGTTGTTGCCCTTTTGTTTTGACGTCTCCCTGATCCTGTTGCTGTTCTTTTGTTTCGATGTCTCCCTAGTTCGGTTGCTGTCCTTTTGTTTTGATGTCTCCCTAAAACGGGTGTTGTCCTTTTGTTTTAATGTCTCCCTAGTTCGCTTGTTATCCTTTTGATTTGATGTCTCCCTAATGCGATTGTTGTTCTTTTGTTTTGATTTCTCCGCAGTTCATGTTGTTATCCTTTTCTTTTGATGTCTCCCATGTTCGGATGTTGTCTTTTTGTTGTGATTCGTCCATTTTGTACTTTTGTTTTGATGTCTCTCATGTTCGGTTGTTGTCCTTTTGTTGAGATGTCTCCCTAATTCTGTTTTTATACTTTTGTTTTGATGTCTTCCTAATTCTGTTGCTGTCTTTTTGTTTTGATGTCTCCCTAGTCCGGTTCTAGTTCTTATGTTTTGATTTATCTAGAGTTCATGTTGTTATCCTTTTCTTTTGATGTCTCCCATGTTCGGATGTTGTCCTTTTGTTGCGTTTTGTCCGTTTTTGTACTTTTGTTTTGATATCTCTCATGTTCGGTTGTTGTCCTTTTGTTTTGATGTCTCCCTAATTCTGTTGTTGTCCTTTTGTTTTTATGTCTCCCTAATTCTGTTGCTGTCCTTTTATTTTGTTGTCTCCCTAGTTCTGTTGTTGTCCTTTTGTTTTGACGTCTTCCTAGTTCTGTTGTTGTCCTTTTGTTTAGATGTCTCCCCAGTTCGGTTGTTGTCCTTTTGTTAAGATGTCT